TTCAATGAGTAATTGAAGGAGCTCACTGGGATTCAGGATTCCTAAACTGTATTTCTAACCCATTACTGAATCACTCTCTAACTCTGTTCACTTTATCAATTATAAAATGAGAAATGGAGTAATAATAATACTAATATAAAAGGCAAGTCTTAATACTTGTAAAGCACTGAGATATTCAGATGAAAGGTGCAAAGTAGGTAGATGCAAAGTATAGCTAACAGAGAGCAGAGACCATGCACCATTTTAACATAAGTTTGTGCTTTTAAGTATATGTAGACCATATAACTTGTATGATGATTCTTATAAGCCTATCAGTCCACTAGCCACATTTATAAATTATACAATAAGTTAATATAAGATTAGAAGGATAAATGGGCCTATGTGGTCAAGAAATCCTAATTTCTATTCCAAAGTGTATTCAGGTAATCTATAACACATGCTACATTTGACATTATATCTTATTAGGACAAAACTTATGAAGAATAGCCATTTCCTAGTAATTCACTTGAGAAACTTAAATGACTCATTCAAAACTATCTTGTCAGCATGGCTCCTGTTCACATTCTCTCAGGGGATTATTCTTTTCTTCACAGGCACGTATGAGTACTCTTAACGTAAAAAGCAGTTACCAGCACAACAGTGGGAGAAGAGAGTTCTCAGTGTCTTAGTAGGAGTTAATGTCCTGATAGAAGAGAGAATTAAGTGATGATTTCATCTGGCTTTTTTCCTTTCCTGACTTGCTCCTTTAAAAAGGTCAGATAGAGGCCCCCAAATCTGCTTTCCTCTTCAGTTTGTAACTCAAGTCTGAGCACACTACAATTTTATTCCTGCGGATTATGAGCAATTGAAAATAATGCCGTGTATTACGCTGGGAGTCTTGGCATAAATGGAGTCAGAAGAGAGTTCAGTCTTCTTCAAAGGAAAAAGAACAAGCTACACAAAGATAACATGAGCAACCAAAATTATGATAATAGCAAAAGGCAAAAAAAACCCCCAAACAAATAAAACTTCTAGAATGATGGAGACCACAGTATGCCATTACAGCACAAATGAACTTGGAGAAAATAAGCTAATAATATTATGAAACCACAACAATATGTTTATTTAACATAATCAACTAGAAATTTTTAATCAAATAAAATAAATCAGCTCCAAAACAGTCTGGAAGCAATTTTTGTATGGAAACAAATGATTAGTGCAGAGGAACAGCAAAAACAATCTATTAATAGTTTGTTTTGTAAGGAAAAAAAATTAGTCAGGACTCGATTTGTACAAATCTGGCAGCCTACAGGAGCGTGAAGAGTGCAAGGATATTAAAAGTGTTCATGTAGCATACATTAGTTTGAAAGTTTTTCCAGAATATGACATTTCAAATCCAGCAAAAGTTTTATCCACAGCACAGCACATGATGGAATGGAAATTTTTATTTTATTTTTTTTTAACAAGGCCCTGAAAAAGGTGCTTATTCTTCTGATAATTCTTCTTTTCATCACCATTTTTAATATTACAACAGTACCTAAAGACCCCAGCCAAGTCAGGGTCTCATTTTGCTAATTGCTATACAGACACATAATGTGGAATAATGGCTGCCCCAAATTGCCTCGTCACTGTAAACTGAATTCACAGTGGGAAAAGAGAAAACAGTGGAGAGGTGACTTGCCTGTGGTCACAGAACATTTCAGTAGTAGAAACAGAGTGAAGTCCAGGTTCAGTGCACATCATGTCATTAAGTGCTATCTCTTTAGCAGGATCCAGAACATAGAATAGAATCTTTGCTCTAAACATAGTCTGTAAGGACAAAATTTGCAACAGAAATCCAGAGATAAGCCTAATCTCATAACACCTAGACAACCATTAGTAGTCTGGGACTGGTTTACCTGAGGTATTGCTCCTTCTCTTCCTGCCATCAGCTGGATCCCCCTGTTACAAAGGAAAGGGTGTTTGCAGAGGGTTCTCTGGGAAGGGTTCAGGATTCTGTATCTTGCTCATCCTCTTCAACTGAACTAATACAAAACTAGTGACCTGCAAAAGTTGTTTGATAGGGTTTATGGAGAACACTCTGAATATGCTTCCTATAAAGATAAAGGGATGGAGAGGAGTTTCGTAAGGTGTCTGGCTGCCTGATGCCTTTTGAATTGATTGCTTTCACTCTGCTGAGATTTAACCACATTGCTAATGGTGTGTTAAGGCAGCTAGAGCCTTGAACAGATGTATCTGGGGAAGGCACTGATTCAAGTTCCTATTTATTACTCCAAAAACAATGAAGAGCTGATCAAAAATAAGAAACCTGAGCCCCAAAGGGCATTTGAAAAAAGGAAAGACGGGAATCTACAGGGGTAAGTTCTAAGACGCCTGTCCTTTAAATTTTTTAACACAGTTCCAGAATTCTCTGAGACCGAGTATGATTGATTCGCCCTTTCTGTTCCAATTATTTTCCGCTTTTACCCCTCATAACCAGAAACAATTATTTCTTCTGCCCTTTTTCTTCTGTTTTCCTCGAGTATACATAACCAAAATGGTCTTCGAGTGAGAAGGACTGAGGAAGACTCTCAACATTTCTACCATCCAAATGGAAATCTATCACACTGCTCTCAACCTAAATCCTAAAATCTCCTCCTTCTTCTCTCTTAATGCACCATGCTCCTCCATCTCCAGAACCTCAGAGTGGTACAACAAGGGTGGCAAACAAGCTATCCTGTAAAACTAGCAGCTGCTAGAGAAGCTGAGTACAACTCAAAAAGGTTATGAGCAAGAACTTCCAAAGATATCTTACATCTGAGTTATTTTAAGTGATATAAACCCCGCAGACTTACTAGTGACTGACAATCATTATGAAGAGTTGATTTTTATGGGGAAATTATGCCATAGTTGTCTCCTGTGAGCTTTGAACTTCCCTCTCACTCATCAGAGACCATCTGCTGAACTAAGTGAATTATGGCCTTGCAAACTCCCATACTGCTGCCTGTGGCTGTAGAGTCATTGGTTGTTGGGATGCTAAGAGTGGGTTGTCAGACAGGTAGTTGGGTGATAAATGGGCCCTTCTCCAGTTCTTTTTGTATATTGGGCTTCCTTATCTTTAGTGGGCAAAAAAAGCAACAAGACTGCTAAAAGGGTAAGGGAGAAAGTCTCTTCTGGATGATGGGTGAGGGAGCAAATCACAGTTTCCCTGTCAGTAACTGTTCTTCAGATCGCTAGTGGGGCAGAGGTTGGGCTTTACTGCCTACAGGGCACCCAGTTCATGCTGCAATACTGTGGCTTCTCTCTTCAGTAGAATAACTAAAGGGGGAGGAGTGGGACACTACCCCCAGGTGCCAACTTGGAGGAATGCAAAAATAGCAACCACTACAGACCCATGCACTGCCACTGCCCAGGGCAAAAACTGCTTAGTTATACCTCTGCCTCTCCTCATCCACTGTTAACATGGCTGGTTGAAGGCAATACCTGGCACTCTCTCCATGTGAATATAAGGTATTGGCATGGGGCACAAGAAGGGAGATTCCCTTTGCTGCAGCTGCCAAGACAATGGGTACACCTAAAGGAGGCTGAACATTTTAATAAGCAGACCGGGTTTAGCCTTTGGGTAAAGGAAACTTTTTGTCACCTTCCACCCACAAGTCACCAATCCCTATGTTTAGGTCCGAGAGAGAACTGACTCATTTTCCATAAAAGTATGGGTGTGAGATCCCTTAGGTCCCAAAATCCTTAGCCCTGTGCTGTAGAAATGGAATTCAGCTGTTTGATCTTTTGAATCTTAATAATTGGCGCACACTGCTGTATTTTCCAAGCAGTATACATTTTTTTCCTAAGACAAGCTAATATTTTCTATTATAGGGCACAAAGGCTGATATCCATTTTCTATGTCAGATGTAAGTAATGTGACCTAGTCAATGGTATGCTACTTCTTCCAAAAGCCAGTTTGTTCTTTTGGGAGATGGGGTTCAATGGTGTTCTCTTTTTGATTCAAAATTAAGCTCCACGAGTTTATATGTAATGCAGAGTAGTGAAACAGATCAATAGTTTGTTGGATCCTCTGGTGATTTACTGGGTTTCAAGATAGCAATAACATCACCTTTTCTCCAGATTTTTGGAAGTTTGTTACTTTCTAGACATTTATACATGAATTTCTGGAGTCATCTCTTCACTGTGGTTCTGAGGTTGGTAACGAATTCTGGAAAGATCTTATCTGGTCCAACAACCTTGCCAGTCTTGATCACTTTAACAGCTGTGTCAAATTCTTTGTCAGAGATTGGAGCAGTTAAATTAAGGATGACGTTGAGTGATTTAAGTTGTTCACCAGTCAAGTGTCTAATCATTTTTGTGTTAGTTGCTTGGGTTACTATACTTGCTATTGTTGCATAATATTTTCATGATGGAGTTTTCTGACACCGGGCAATACCACCCTTGCCAGTAAGGAAGCTAATGATGCAGCATGCCTGTCTGCTTAAGGAGGTCATACCAAATCCTTCTGTGATAGTGTCCAATCTGTCCTTGCTGATATTGTTCAGTGATAGCCAGCTGTTCTGTAGTTCTTTTTACAGTTGCAGGATCACTGTATTGCTTAATGATGGTAAAGAACTGTTTGCATTGCTGAGGCAGAAAACTGGCATGGTTCTTAACAACCTTACAGCTGCCTATGATATTGTTTGGCACCAAGGCCTTAAATATAAACTGCACTCTGTGATACCTGACTGCAAGCTATGCACTCTCATCAGGAACGTGATCTCCAGCAAATCACTCAAACTAACTACTAGCCAAGGAGAAAAAAGCAGAGTACAAACAGTGATATATGCCCCAGCAGAATATTGTGCTCCTGCACGGTCCAAAAGTTGTCACACTAAAAAGTTCAACACTGTACTTAACAGTGCACTGAGACTCATAACAGGCTGTACATATATGTACTTCCTGTACTCTTGGGCAGTAGACCAAGTGATATAAGATAACAGACCTTAACATTACTGGCAATAGAGGCAAGAGATGACTAAAATCAACTATTCTATAAGCTGTTAACTGAAGACTCAAATTGATGGAGGTTTAAGAGGCTTAAAAGTCATAAACCATTTATACTTGAAGCCCACAATCTCCTGGAACAGCTTGGGGATGCTAAACCAAACTTATGGGCAGCCAGAGTGGGCTATTCTTACCATGTTTTATACCAACACCAAACGAGCCCACATTGGGCATGACCTTGGGAAAGAAGTGTGGGTCAAGCTGAACAGGCTGGGAGCTAGATACAGACACTTCAAAACAACACTTCACAAGATGAACATCTTGGACAGTCCCCTGTGTGAATGCTGTGTCCAACAAACAGCACAGCACTCAGTCAGAAGCTGTAGTCTTTACACGTGCCCAGATGGAGCAGATGGAATCTGCACATTGAGCGATAACACCAGACAGGGGCTCACAGATTTGGAAGTTGATATCTGATGCCATACAAGAGAAAGAGAAAGGCTGATATTAGTAAGGGGTTTTGATAAGTCCCCACCATCCCCCTCCTTGACTAACAAGGACCCTAAACCAACCAGACACTAACAATGGAAATCACGACAATCCCAGTCCCACAAAGATTGGCTGCCTGTCTGGTCAATGGCATTTTTTTGCAATTTTCTTTCCATTCCACTCTGTTGCCTTTCCTTTTAATGTCCTATGGTTTGGATCTAATATTTATAAAAGCTGATCCTTCATGTAACTATATGAGGCATGAATTGGGATAATTAACAGTTTCAGGTCATTGTAGGATGAAACAAGCAGAGCATACTTGTTTTTTTTAAATGGTAAAACTGAAAATGCATCATTAGACATAGCATCCCTCCCTGCACAAACTCAGTGATGTTTCCTGAAGTTAATGATGAAGAGTTTGAGAGATCAAGGGCACTTTAGCTGAACTAAGATCCAGTTTCATCCAGTGTTAAAGGAAGCATTTCACAGGTTCAGGTTAAAGAGTGAGTAAAAAAAATCATGCTGCAGTAAAATTTGTTCTTTGGTATCACCTTGCAACACATATTTGCTTTTTTAAAACCCGTGTGTTGAAATTTCCTAACATCTTAAGTGGCACTAACAAACCAGTATTGTGGTCTTTTGGTACATTGTTTGATCTTTCTGCACTCTGAGTTCACTCAGAATCACATTGATGGGTGTTTACTACATTGAGAGGAAATATTTCCCAACTTCCATAGGTAATTTAGGAACCTGAAAAAAATCATATAATGGAGGATATAATCACCATAATTAGGCAATACCAAATTAGTATCTGATATGACACTTTATCTTAGACAAAATGCTGTTGCTTTGTTCCTTTCAATTCAGAAAATGTTGTGGGTTTGGTGGTTTGGGACTTTTTGCTTGTTTTTTTGTTTTCTTTTGTTTGCTTGCTTTTGTCTCCTGCCTTGCAGCAGCCCTTTCTGGCTGAGGAAGGCTTAATAGCAACATCAAACTCAGTGCAGCTCCTCCATCTATGAAGACGGCTACAGCAGACATGTTGGAACGGTCACTCTCATAAAAATCCCGGTAAGAGTCCCTCAGCTACACACCTCCTGTACTGCTCTGTGCCCTCATCACTGTCACATCTGTTTTCTCAGAGAGAAATATGCCAGTCTTCACCTCCTTCATCAGATTTTCAGGGTAGGGGGGAAGATTTCTTTTTCAGTGCAAGTGCCTATCTATTCTAATCGGGAGTCTTCTATGTTGACATCTTCATACACCTGCTAACAGTAAAAATTGTGTCTCTCACCCTCTTATTCTATGATGGATAGAGTGAGCTTATGGCAATAGCTTTGGGTCAGATACCCCTAAGCCAATGGTTTTCAACTTTTTGTCAATTGCTGACCCATAAAAAAAATTTTGAATGGAGATGCAGACCCATTTGGAAATGGAATGGCTTTTGTGGGATCTAAAACTTTATTTTCATAGTAATTTTTCACAGGCCCCTTAAACTTGGTCTGTGGGTCCCTCAGTCTGTGGACCCTGAGTGGTCCACAGACCACAGGCTGAAAACCATTGCCCTAAGGCATATGCTTTACACAGTGCATGTGCACCAAAAGGAATACAACTTACTTTATCTGCATTTCACATATATGACCTGACCTAAGTATGCTAGTAGAAATGGCCTAAAATGTTGATATTCAGGAGAACACATTAACTGCACTGTTTCAGATTCATATCATGACAAGCTGAAATGCATTCTTAGCCCATTGTCACGGATCAATACTGGCTGCATTTAAGATGGCTATCTGAAAAGCATACATCAATACCATAAAATGTGCAGGGCTATTGACTTGGGATTTGTTGCTTTTCTGTTGTCATTTATATTCTCACAAGAACCGATACAATCTTAACAGCATCAGCTCTGGGTTTCTCCAGGTTTTGTGCAGTATTACTCTCGTTTCCCAATTAGCTTCATTGTTAAAAATAATGCATGGTAACATTTTGGTATGCATAAATGATGCTAGATGCATTCATACATCAGACCTCATACCCTGAGTGCATGAGATTACACATGTGGCCCTTTGCTTAGTGTTTCAGTGTATCTTCCAACTGGCACTTCTTCCTTGTTTATTCTTCTTAGGCTTGTCCTTGTTCTCCTACCTGCCAGAAGACAATAAAACCTGAAATTACCATTTTAAAGTATCTTTGACATACAAACAGATGCACAATCACTTTCCTCTCTTTCTATTTCCTGCCTGCTTGCTTACTCCCTCCAGTCCCAATTTTAGGGGGGAAAAAAATCTCAGAACATAAAGTACTTTCAAAATCATTAGACATAATGATAAGCAACTATTATCCAATCTTCTGCTTTATTGGTATTTGTCAGCACAGCCAGTTCTGTGTCATCACTAAACCCATGCAACTTATTCCACATTTTCTTCTATAGATTACTGCTATCTACTGTATATAGCAGGAATAAGAATTGGCTCAACATATTCCCACTTGTCACCCTTTTCCAACTTTATCTATATCCCTAATGACTTACCATCTCTGACTTCTGTTATCAAGTCATTTTTTTTCTGCAACTGAGTATTTCACTATCAATGCTGTGCTTGTTAACCTAATACATTGCTCTTTTGGTGGGTATTGAAAGCTCTCCAGAAGCCTAAGTGAATTACATCTACTGCTTCATCCTTTCCTACTCCTGTCATCTCCTCCTGAAATTAATGCATCAGGTTTATTAAGCATGACTTTCCTCCTCTATATCTGTGCTGAGAGACTATCTTTGCCTGTTCAAGAGTCCTCTCCTTATCCCTGATCAGGTTTCTAGAATCTCTTGCAGTAAGGATGCCAGACAAAGTTCTGCAGCTACCAAGTCATCTTTTTAACTCCTGGCGGCATTTTAGCCTCTCTCCTATTTATAAGTACCATGGGTCAAACCATCAACTGGTGTATGTGTGTGCTCTGCTTAAGTCAATGACACCATTGATGACTTGGCCCAATCTATTTGTTTTAGGGTTTCAATAACACTTATCACTATAGCCTGAGCTACGCTGTACATCTCCAACTTCTGTCAAAATCCATCCCATAGAAGTTCTCCCTTGGGGCTTTGAAAGTACATATACCCTGCAAGTTTTGTCCTCCCTCTGGTACCCTCTCATGCATTGCTGCCAGCCCACTCCATACAGCAAACCCAGAAACATAGCAGTGAAGCCACTCCATGGGTTCTTTCCCCATGGCTGATCTTAGGGCAGGGAAAGGCAATTATTTGGGCTGAAGGGCCACTTAAGGAGCTTTGGTGAGCTGTTGTGGGCCTAAGGGGAAGGGGGGAATTGATTCTATCTGGCCCTGGGCGCATCCACCCCACACCCACCTCCAGGGGACCCAGACAGAGACAGTGGGTGAGGTTTCCGTGGAGACTGGCCTGGGAACCCCAAGAGCAGGAGGCGCTCAGCCAGGTGGATGGGATGGGGCTGCAAATGGGTAGGGAGCAGCATCTAGGAGCTAGACAGGTGGCTGGGACTAGGATCATGGGGCGGTGACAGCTTGGGGCTGGGAGCTGAAGCAGAAACATGATCTGCTACTCGCACGTGCCTGCAGCAGGTGCCAGTTCCGTGGGCAGAAACTTGCAGGGAAAAGATTGTGAATTTGCCCCAGGCCCTGGCCCCATGCTGTCACTGCCCTGGGATCCCAGCCCTGGCCCCTGCCCAGGCCCCGCTTGCCCATCCCGCTCCCAGTCACCTCTCCCTGCCTGCCCAGAGTGGCCCCATCCCATCTGCCCAGCTGAGCACACCCTGCCCACGGGGGTTCCTGGGCCAATCTCTGTGGAGCCCCCACCCACCCACTCTGTCCAGCACCCCTAGTGGTGGGTGCAGGGTGGACAGGTGGTGGCAGCCAGGCAGAGCAGCCACTGTTGTGGGAACTGCCAGGAAGCAAAGTCCGGCTGCCGCACCATTCCACTCCCACCCCACCATGTGCCCAGGGACAGCAGGACCGGCTACATGCACCATAGCCTGGGCTACCCCTGTGCTTGAGCCAGGTGGGGCCAAGGGACCCACCATGGGCTGGATACAATCTCTTGGCAGGGGGATTCATCTCGCAGGCCATATTTTGCCCACCCCTGTCTTAGACCTATCAGAACAGGAACATGTGGCTTGGGCAGGCTTAACATGGGCCTCAGTAGGTCTCAAAACTTGGTACAGACCTAGCCTGAGTAGCTCTTTCAAGGCATCAGACATCTGGCCTTTGAAACTTCTCTAGTTTCAGTTATTCTAGGGTTTCAGGGTGGGGTGGATTTGGTGAGGATGGAAAATACAGTAATTTATTCTGATTCAACTCCTATTATATTGATATATTAGTGAAGACACTATCCCTATAGAGGTTTAACAGAACCTCTTTTTTGTATTATCTTCAACCAATGCTGTACATTTTAGGTACTCATGTAACAGTTATATAAGAGGTGGGAGGTTATAATGAGCAGGAAGGGAGCCAAGAGTTACCTCTAACATGAAGCACATGTTTAATAGTGCCACTTGCCTTGTTTACACTGAAATTGTAATACATATACTTTAACATATGCTGACTAACAAAAATCAAAACTATGCCTTTTTCCTGGTGTCAGTATGGCCTTATTTTTTATCCCCAAAAACCTAGGGAAGTTCAACAGGACGTCTAAGTCTCCCTCAACCCCACAAGGGGAACTAAGCTTGACAAACTCATAGCAGCTTAGAAAACATGTGCAATTACATTTTGAAAATATTTATGATCAACTGTAAGCAGTACATTATTA